GTCAGCCACACCATTTGTACAATTTTAAATCCCTGCCTCCCAGGAATGCTTTTGATCAAATATGATTGATATCCAGTGCACAGTTCTACAGAAGAAGTCGTTTGTAGCAATATAGCCAAATTGCCCCCTTTTGGCCCCGCCCCTAAGCCCCCTGAAGAGTCAGCCCCACCATTTGTACAATTTTTAATCACCACCACCTAGGGATGCTTCCAGTCAAATATGGTTGATATCCACTTCTTAGTTCCAGAGAAGAAGTCGCTTAAAGCAATATGGGCAAATTGACCCCTTTTGGCCCCGCCCCTCAGCCCCCTGGGGGGTCAGCCCCACCATTTGTAAAATTTTGAATCCCCACCACCTAGGGATGCTTCCAGTCAAATTTAGTTTAATTCCAACCGGTGGTTAAGAAGAAGAAGTTGTTTAAAGAAATTGTTGACGTACGGACGGACGTACGGACGGACGACGGACGCCACGGTATGGCATAAGCTCACCTTGGTCCTTCGGACCAGGTGAGCTAAAAAGGAGTGTTCTTGGACAGGTCAGTCACATATACATGTACAGGAGTGTACACAGAAAGGGCCTACAGAGCAAGAGGTGCTATACATGATGCATGTATAGACAATGCCTAGAGATACATATGGATATGTACGGAAAGGGTATTGAATTAGACTACGTAAAATACTATAGAGCCTCGTGCTAGTCACACTGATATGTGTGCATTACAATACAGAGCGGTTGTGTCAATCAGAACTCTTTGTAATCACCATTACTTACATGACCAATGCTTTGTCGCTGATCCTATTACTACCTCGCTCTGACATGTCTTTAAAAGTGACATATTTTACAGGAACAGATCTATCACATGTAAACATTTCCACATCCAGTCGTCTCTGATCAAGCGAGTTCCGCTCCGGCTCCGACACTAGGAACAGCACACATGCTCTAGAATACAAATACAACATAACATTACAGAATTGGTATAGATGACAAATCTGTGATGTTCCTAAGGATTTTACTGTGTGGCTCCTCCTCTTCCTCAAATAATACTTTTATGTTTACATAACAAAGTGATGGAAAGATTAATTAGAGGTTGATATTGTATGCTAAAGTTATTTGTAAGACATTCATTGAAATGTGTTTTGCTATTGTGAAGTAATGTAATGACTCCTTTACTGTCTTCTGTTGAGGACAACAAAGGCACATTTTAAAATGTTATCAATGAAATCTTTTCTGTTTTTAATAACAGTAAAAGTAGATTTTTTTAGGGGGGGTTTATACATCATCAGAATATATTAAACACATGCACAAGTATTTTACTAGCCCGAGTTTCCTTTGGCCCTAACACCAGACTTTGACATTTTGACATATATATATATATGTCTGTTGTTGAGCCAGAGCGTGCTGCTTTATATTTATGAAGAGTTATGAGGTTCTGACAAGAAAAATCTACTGTGACACAACACATACCTCACATATATCGATAAATGGATTATTTAATTGATCTATATCAGCTCTTATTATCACCATCAGCTGCTTAATTCTGTCAGTCGAGTATTTGATTTTCAATTGTTCAAAATTTACCAAATGAGCAAACACCATTTTTGTAGGTCATGGGATGACTTTAATTATCAACAAACCATACTGATCTGGACCGAAAACAGAATTTATTATTCTTATTTAGAAGATTTCCAGACTGCGTCTTTTTGTTGATAGGCACTCCCCGATTCGAAATGGTGTCGGAGAATTTCACGTTTTCATATAGCAGTGTGCTCTGCCCCCACACTAGATATCTATATGTCAAAATGTGTAAGTCTTGTGTTCGGGCCAGAGGAAACTCGGGCAAGTATTTTGCATAGCTATGAGATATTAATTGAATTTAATCTATCAACCTGTGTTATATAAATAGAGAAAGAGTGGTTTGTTGAGAATGAGGCTTTCCTGTGTTATGGACACTAAAAAATCTCATACATATAATTATGATCTCTTTTGTTACAGACATGGGATTGCATATGATTCTCTTCTTGATTTTTTTTGGTATACCAACATTAAAATACAGTCTTCACATTGTGTTGCAAGTCATATCTTCAACCATGACATCACTTCTTTGTAAATATCTATTATCTATTTTTTAATTTCGTGTGACATATTTAAATAGTTCTAAACGCGAAAGAAACTGAAAATTATTTATAAAAATTTCGAAGTTAATTCTTGTATGTTAATAAACTACCTTTTATTTCCATAAGCCTTCCATCCTTCGACCAATCCTTGGGCCAGTCCATTGGCAGGGTTGTTTGGAGGTACCTACAGGAAAAACGAGCCAAATTTTATCAATCAAAACAATCATACCTTAGTTTCAAATTATATTTTGAATGAGCATGGAAAGCCATCCTGATAAATGACTTTTTGAGAATACTTTCTGTAATATTGATCACAGCAATAAAACCCGTGATTAGGTTTTTTCATTGTCTTATTTAAGGCAGTTCAGAAGACAGACAATATATACAGTGACAATTAATATGACATTACAAGATGAGAATTTCGCTAACTCTGAACTTGTTAAAAAAATCAAAATTTCATAGAAATTTAATCAAAACTTATCATCAATGTTGTCAACCTGTACTGTACTGTCTGTTTGAAATTCCAGTTTGATTGTGAAAAACATAATCATTAAGCAGTTTGGCATTTTGTACTTTCACTGTATTTGCCAAATTTTGCACAACAAATTAAATCAACTAATTATTAAATAGCAATGATGCATTACAGAAGGGACTATACAATTATGTATCACTGACCAAAATATTGTGGTATTGATACTTATCAATATATAGATTACCCCGGGTAATAGCCCTTATTAATATTGGGGAAACATTTTTCAATATTTCCCTATCTTAAGTATACAATTTATTTTTTTATTTTTTTAGGGGGGGATTAGTTATAATATCTGGTGTTAGGCACTGCTGTCCTAAAATGAAGTTTGAAACGTCTCAAAAATAACATTCTTCTGGTAATAGACAACAATATGTTTTCTCATTATTACAAGGACAGCAAGAAAATAACTTACTTGTGAATCCTCAAACTGTTTCCCAGCAAGTGTTAGAGAGTACCTGAGAAAATTGTGACATGATCAAAATTTATTCTTATCATCTTTACTTTAATATTGTGTAACAAATTAAAATGAAATTTATTCCAAGCTGAAAAGACAGTAATGTTTGTATGGACCAATCATCGAAACAACCGTTTGAAATGTCATTAGAAGGGGTCACAATAAATATCTAAAAGTAGGGTCTGGAACCTTATATATATATATATCTATTCAAACATTAAACTATTCTAAGGAAATGTAAAAATGGGGGAGGGAGAACGATGGTTCTGTATATTTTATCATCTAGTTTATCATTACCAGGTATAATATTAATATGTATTTTTTGCGGAATATTTTACAAAATTAATATATGCAATGTAGTTTTTAGTATTAAGAGTTGATTAAAAGTATTTTAAAGTAAATAAAATAGAGATACCTGTATATCTATATAAGTCAATGTTTACCTGCCGACATAAATGGAAACACCAAAAAACCCATTCCAAATGTATTTCCAGCCTTGTTCTTATTTCATAAAATGAATTTTAAATTCCAAACAGCAAAAAAGGTTGACATTTAATTTTTTCCCCAAAGTTCACATTTATCATACATATGCCAATAATGAAAACTTTAACTTTAATAGTTGGAAAATTTCCCCAAATACCATGAAATAATATTGCAAGAATTTGCAATAATTTTATCAAATATTTAATGAAATTTAAGGTGGCTCCACACATCGTCATCAGTGTCCATTTTTGTGACGTACTTCCGGAAAAAGTACAGCTCGGACTCAATTATCTCGAACTAAATGTGCATGTACACAGTGCCGTCATTTCCGTATTGTGTATCGGGCCTTTCAATGCCGTAATGTAAATTATAGCAACACCTGGTAAACAATAGTACTCGTACGTGACGATGATACATGTATGTCAACTCCACATTTTGAGATTTTGTTGGAAAATCACACGTACTTAAGATATAAAGCTTCTAATACAAAGACATAAACTGACTCACAGGAAGACACTGACATAAGATCAGACGAATTCAAGAAGGTCATAATTTAATGTTATATATGTGACGCATGGAATGCAGACTGTTTATGTACCGACCTCACATGTGCATATCACATCCTTACACGAGTTTACAAGCTTGATGTCGTTACAATTTTCACTATTGAGCAAGTTTCGCTCTGTTGATTAAATCATTTCAACAAATGCAGTACACTAACTCTGTGAAAATAGTGTTTTTTAAAATATCAAGATCCCTATTAAAATGCATATGTGGGTTGCACGTGCGAACGGCATACCATGCGATAGCCTCTGGTCACATATGTACCCGACATGTAAATATATACCGTGCGTTATTGGGCTATGACGTCCAAAGTGTACATGACTGAAAGTAATTTGGTTCCATAAAAGAACAATAAATTGACGACTTTGATATCCTAATTTTTAATAGATTTCCAGCACTTTTGATATATGTAAAAAGAGATACCAATTGTCATTGTGTAAAACTCTGTCCTTATCTTTGTTTCCTGTTTGCTTTTAGCTTGTAGATAATCATTTTAATCCGTATAATTTCAATGTTGTTGTTTTTTTTATATATTTTGCAATAAATAACATATTTGTAGGGTTAATTAGCAATGCTTCTTTTAATTTTTTCATTGTTGTTTTTGTTCCGAACAATGCCACACACAAAAAGAAACCTAAAATATTAAAATTGAAGAAAAACTCAATTTTTGGGTATGTTTTCCAAAAAAGTCCCAAATCCATAGGAATGCTTAGATTTCCATAAAATCAACTCTACATAGTTGCATAACCATTGTATAAAAGTTTCAACGAATTTTGCTGGTAAATTGCGAAAGTGTGGAGCCTCCTTAATTCCTCATGTCTCTGAAACCCTAAGTAGATTCATCACAAACAAGTCACACATAATGAACCTGGTGATATTAGGTAATCAATAAGTCTGTGGTGATACATACCGATGTACATTAAAGAGAGGTGATACCAGACCAGCAAAGCTAGCCGCTATCATGTTAAATTCTATCTGTTTCATCTGTACAGTTTCTGGTACTGAGGCTGGGGCTGAAGCGTCAATAGGACTGCTCTGTTTCACATCCATCATAAAGTCATTACGGAACAAACCAAGGCTTATAGGCTGGAAATACAAAAATGTTCTCTGTGTAAAAATATTCATGGTTTTCGTGGTTGCTATGGAATTTAATTGATATAGATGACAGATGTTTGTAACCAATCAAATTTATTTATTTTAGGTTCCATGACAACTCACCTGTGTAACACCTTCCTCAGTCACCACTTGTAAAATGTCCCACAGGCGCTTATTAAAGTCGTCAACTTTTACTACACTGGAAAATATATGATGTTTTTTGGAAATAAAACAATAGACAGTAAGTCAAGTCCTCAATAGATGGATGACAAACTAGCCAGACATCAGAAAATGTTTAAGTACAGTTAATTCTTGCAGTTGTGAAACATTTGGAGTATTTGATTTAGTGACACTTAACATTCACAAGAGGCTCAATGAGCCTAAATCATTCACCTGGTTTTAATCTCACACTTGTAAACTTGAAAGTGGGCTGAAATGTTTGGTTCAAAAGGATCTATTAAAAGATTTAAACATGTGACACATGTGACTTGAAAGCCAAACAAGGACATTAAGTTGAACAGACTTTATAGCCTGTCATACCAGCATACTTCTGGCCAAATATCATTACCCTGGACCTTTAGATTATTGTGAAGTTGTTTAAAGATTTTAACATAATCGACCCCTGTGACCTTGCAAATGGGTGAAGGTCATTCATTTGAACAAACTTGGTAACCCTTTATCCCAGCATGTTACTGGACAAATATCATCACCTTGATCCTTTTGGTTATGAAGACAAAGTTGTTTACAGTTTTCAATATATTTGACCCCTGTGACCTTGAATATAAGTCAAGGTCATTCATTTGACAACTTGGTAGCCATTCATCCCAGCATGTATTTGGGAAAATATCAACACCCTACGCATCTTGGTTATTCAGAAGAAATTGTTTAAAGGTTTTAAACATACTTGACCTCTGTGATCTTGAACAAAAGTCAAGGTCATTCATTTGAAACAAACTTGGTAGCCCTTCATCCCAGCATATGACTGGCCAAATATCATCACCCTAGGCCTCTTGGTTTTTCAGGAGAAGTTGTTTAAAGGTTTTGAACCCTGTGACCTTAAATACAAGTCAAGGTCATTCATTTGAACAAATTTGGTAGCTCTTTATCCCAGCATGTTACTGGCCAAATATCATCATCCTAGGTCTTTTTGTTACTGAGAAGAAGTTGTTTAAAATAAAAAGTTGACGTCGTACCGACGGAAGACGAACGTAGCACCGTGGCAAAAGCTCACTTGTCCTTCGGGACTTGTTCCAGAAACTAATGGTTAGGATATTGCAGCATGCAAATGAAATCTATGCAAATTATGACGAAAATATTCTCACAAAAAGTGAAATTTATCTAAACAAACTTGACACACTTGTACCAAGAAAGCTACTATAACAGGCTCAATATCATGTAACTCTATTTAATGTTATTGGTGCTTGTTGAAGATTTAGATTTGAATTTTGTGTACTTCAAAGTTGGTTGAAGTCAATTAATTGATAATCTTTGGATAGTTTGTGTAAAGCAAGCAAAAAATTGTACATGCCAAATATTACTCCTGAAGTAATCATTGCGACCAAACAAGTTTGTTCATATCATTTATTTACAATCAAACATATTTGATAGTCCTTTACTACCATAATCTACATACCAAATATCATAATCATGAATCTCATCAATCTTTAACCATTTCAAAAAGGTTATTTTAAACATATTTGACACATGTGACCTTGAAAGTGAACCAATGTCATAAATTTGACCAAAACTGATGGTCCTTTAATTTACCTACACAGGATACAGGTCACATTTCATTACCTTAAGCCTCTTTATTATTCTTTAGAAGTTGTTTGAATATTTTCACTTCTTTACCCCCTGTGACCTTGAAAGTAGGTCAAGGTCATTCATTTGAACACACTTGGTAACACTTAATCTGAACTAGTACCAGACGAATATCCTGCACTGATCGAGGTGTTTTTATTATTCAGAAGCTGTTTATAAAGGTTCAAATACATCTGAACCGTGTGACCTTGAAAGTGGGTCAAGGTAAATGATTTAAAAAGCGATTCTAGACCTCTTGATTATTCAGAAGACGCTGTTTACAGAAATTAACATAGAACAGAGACTGGATGAAAAAAAGGACCCTGGGTTATGGCAAAAGCTCACTTGCCTTATGGTCGGGATTTTTGACAGATTTTATAAATTAATATACAGCTAGATTGTTATTTTGACTTTGACCTTTGTGCCAAAACTTTAAAATAACTTTTAATTTGCAATTTTATCCCAAATCAAATTTCCCTCCAAAGTTGTTTGTGGGGGGGTTAACAGGAACATAACATAAGAACAAAATCCTAATCACATGTCAAAAACTCTGGTGATTGATTTACCAGAAAATGTCAAAATAAAACTCACTTGCTCAAACATTTTTCTAGGAATTCAAAGTCATGTGCCACCATGTGCATCAGTTTGTTGAAATGTGGTTGTATGGCCTTCACCTTGGCTAGAGCCTCTCGTGGTACCAGCGACGGAAAAAGAGTAAACGGAGCATATTGCACTGTCTCTGAATTGCCTGGTGATTCTGCTGTCCGCATTAGTACACCTGTCAGTGCAACACAATTAGACATCTCACTTTAATGATTTACTTGTTATACACAAGACAAGCTATCTTCTTAATCATGACATAGGTTTCAAACCTGTTGTACGTACCAGGGCCAAAATGTGTCAGCAGAACCTATAAAGAGGGTCTAAGGCAATTGCATTCAGAATTTTTTAATTATTGATCGCAATTGTTTATGTCTTTTAAGCTTATATATATGTCTTTAATGTATATATGATTTCTTTTGAAGCATTTGGCAAAAAACACTAATTGTTTACCTAAGCCAGACCCATGATTTTAACTTTTTAATTAAAAAATCTTGAGAGAAAATACTTCATTGTATTTAATATAAATGTTACATTTTTTTTACTGATTTTAAAAAATACCTTGAATCTATGTTTCACTACATATAGGAAAGTCATGTTCAGGAAAACAATAAATGTTATAGGCTTTAACTCATTCACTCTTGAAATTTCATAATAAACTATTCCAACCTTTGATTTGGAAGAGTTCAAATGTGTTTTCAGGGGTGAATGAGTGGATCAGTCATCTAGCTAGACTGTCTCTCAAAACAAATCTGTGTACTACAAACCGTGTAATAATGCATGCTCCTTTGTTTTCTTGATGATTTCTTGAATCTTCTTTTCATTCAGAGAAATTTGATCTAATACTGTTGCCATTTTGTGAGATTCTTGACAAACGCCTCAGCTCATAGGTCTTAAGAAACTGGAGGGTCTGTAAATATAAGAAAGTTTTCCATAAAAATAATAATTAAGAGACAAATTTTACCATATGGGCCTGCACAAAGTGATTTAATTAAAACTCTCCTTGATAAAAATGCTCTAAATATATCTGTTAGTCACTGTAATCTGATCCTGTGCACGGTGAAACTTTTACCGGACAGCTAAATGTTCACCTATCACTCATTGACAAAAGTTTCATCATTCACATGAAACTAGCTTGTACATTTAATTCAATGCACTGATATTCACTGTCATGATATATTTGTCTTCATTATGGAAGACAAAATAAGTGAAAGAAAAATTGAGGCAAACATCATTTCTAAGTTAATAAGTCTTTCTTTTTCTTTTTTAAGGAAAATTGAGGAATTTGTTGTCTCACATATTACCTGATTTTAGACATTTTTACACATAGATGTCTTATAATGTCCACACTATATATACACTGGACATCTAGCTGTCAAAATGCCAAAATCTGCTGTTTGTGCCTGAGGATAGTCCATCTAGTCTCATTCATAATATCTCGGTTCATAGTATTTTAGGGGTTAAAGTGCATGTTTTCTGTAGATGGTGAAGAATCTTTTTCAAATAGAACCCATACTTGCCAATTAAGTCTCCCTGTTTTGGCGAAAGGCTCAATTCACATATAAACAAAGTTCTCTTTGAAGCTAAATTTTGTATGATTATAATGCATGATTCAATAATCTGGGTTGAAAATAGTGTTGTTTCAGGGGGCGAAGATTAAGAAAAAGAAATGTAGAGGAACTGGACTTGGCCAATTCTTTGCGACCAAGCTACATTATTTATGTAGCCTTTTTTTCCAGAGCATGATATACGATATAACTCGGAGATGCGCTCACTAGTTCATCAATGTCAAGCAAGATTATTGGCTGGATGGGTGTGTGCCTGCATGTAACACGGCAGCTAGTGTAGTGACCTGTGGTATCAAGTAAGGCCAGTAACTGATGGTTAGGGAAGGTGAGTTGGTTTACAGGGAGAATCCATGGGATTCCCCTGGCCAAGTGTCCGGATGAGACTTCTCAGATCGGGGAATAATGTAACAGCCAAGGAATAGTAGACAGAAATACTGCCTTACAGGCAAGTTTAAGTTGTTACAGTGATAATTCACCCAAGAGCATGCTCACTATAGTTCAGCCGAAGTCTCCTCTGGCCCTAGCCTGACACCACACTTAGACATTATAGATGTCTTGAACTCATGATCTGTCAAAATGTGTAAGTCTGGTGTCAGGGCCAGAAGAAACTCAGGCTGACTATAGTTCAAGAATGTTGAGCATAGTCAGTGGAAAATGGCTGGATAGGTTCTACCATGCATGTTACACAGCCGAGTTCGGAGGGTACTGGGTTCGATCTCGGTCTGGCTGTGCATATTTCCTCTCCTGTTACAAGTTTGTTATACACATGTTATTGTACGGATTTTATAAAAAGATGTTCGACCATGGTAAGCAGCTCATGATCCACTTCCACGATATACGAACTTTATCTAGAATGGACATAATAAATCAGCAACATGTATTATTGACTTTCCCACAAATACCGTTATGTTTTTGCATACAAATTGGGTAACGTTTCTAGATGGCATTTACTATACAAAGGGCACAGGATATAACAACTTAATAAGCACCCCGTTCAGACCGAGTTAAACTCTAAAAGGGCGAATAGAATGTAAGATGATGTGCTCATTATCCGAGTAAACTATTATCGATAGATATATGATCTGTTTCTTATTTTCAATAGATTAATTGACCGAATTACAAACACCTGTTTATAACTGGCAATGTGCTAATATAAAATCAAATAAGTGTTTTTGTATATTTGTGTAAATTAAGTCGAATTATAATTATAAAATACTCAATACGTGTGTACATACCTTAACTCCCGTCTTTACTCCCAACCATGTTCTCCTTATTCAACTCAATGTATTCTATACGTAAAACGAAAGTAAACTGTTCCTTCGGAAGCTCTTGGATTTTATATATCAACAATGACAGATACAAAATTCAGAATACACACTTTAAATGGAATGTAACAGCGTTGGTAATTTCAATACTGTTTTAAAATAACTGATAGTATATAACATGTATTTTGTAGATATTTCTACATTTTAAAGAAATTAAAATGATTATATATCGGCATTAAAATGCCTGCTATTGTTAAAAAACAGAACAGAAAATATAATAATGTCTACTGTCGTTGTAAGAGTTACGACCCTTTGGACGAATTTTTATTTCAAGTTATTTTCCTGAAACAAAATTGGGATTTGATTTGTTTTAATGCACAGATTTTCCAAAAAACAAAATCGTATGTGATGTATACCATATTACAGACATATGTACGCTTTTGCATCTGGGTATCAATAGTACGTGCGTACGTGTCTATACACTTCAGTGTATACGTGAGGCAGTATCTTATATATATATACAATTATCGATTTTTTTAGAGCAACCTGCTCCTTTACAATGAATATTACATACATACATGTATATACATATACCCACGTCAATTATACAAGTAAAACACCAGGTGCATTAATGCGCACGATAAACATAAAAATAACAAATAGAAACAATTAACAAAACGCATTGGAAGAAAACATAAGGCACAATCTACAAAAAAAAAAATCAAGAAAATAAAAATAATAATAAAACATATGTATTTTATTATTATTTATTCGTGTAAAACGCAATTTTCATGAAACCCTGAAATGTAAAAAGCCGCCATTTTGACTCCAATGCACAAAGTCTGTGACGTCATGTACTTGTCCTATCCGTGACGTCACAATTGAAACAATTGAATCTTACAACAAAACACAGGGCTGATAGGTCATATTACATAGGTTAATACGCAAAAAATATGACATAGGTATATTCACTGGATAACACAGTACATTATGTGATTAAAACGTTGATTGTATGTTTTCCCAGCAAATCCAGAGTTGATTGATGACCTGACGTGGCTACATGTATCTCGCCCTATGGGCTGACAAGCTGATCTTTTCCGTCTTAAAAGGAAGACACACCTGTGAAGGGTGGAGTAATCTCCCCCCTTACCCTGTTGACCATGTCATATTCACAACGCGATTTTGAAATTACAGGCTCATTGCATTGCTGGCGTTGATTATATATTAATATATATAGTGCATTAAATAAATTGTTGACGAACGTTATTGCAATGTCGACATGTCTGGGGAATCCCCCGTTTCATTGGAAATAGGCTTTTATCTTTGTGTGATATGAAGGTCGAGGTTTTGATTATGCTCATAAAATTAATGTGCCTAATTATTGTTTCGTTGTCACAACCTCTGTTTTCGCTTTAATGACATGAAATTACTAGCATATGAACCTGATTTACATGACGCTCAACCTTCCGGAACACCCGTTCCGGTATTCTCCTGGTAATTTTTGCATGTGTATCCATGTAACTATTTCCTTTGTTCATATTGTCTCTATAATAGTTTTATCGATTTTGAGTTCGAGTTATGGTTTTGTTAACTCTTCGGTATTCCCTTCTTGATGTTTTTTTGTAACTGGTAAATATGCTAAAATGTCCTTGGGTTACTGCTTTTGACTGTCTATTTATTGATATAAGCTATAAAAAGCTAATAGTTTTTGTCACATTGGAACTGTATATTAAAAGTTTTATCGAGAGAAAAAAAGCAAAATAAAATTACAGAAAACAAATATTTTATTGATGCAGATTTCTAATAAACAAATAACAAAAAAAAAAACCGCAATAGTAGCGTATAGGCCCATATTGACGTTAATTGTCATCTGAGTTAAAATGCAACTTTTATTTATAAATATGATGTGACAAAGAATAAAAGTACATTGTACATGTAGCCATCAACGTCGTTTTGAGTGTGGATTAGCGTTTACTAGTGATGTTGGAGAGTTATAGATCTAGTAAATATCAGTAAAATGATAAAATAATACTACAATAAAATAACATTTCCCTCTAAAGGGAGGATAGTTAAACTGAAATAATATGATTAGAATTCTTACCAAGTGTTGATTACTTCCCACTGAAAATTAACAAAACATACAATATTAACCGTCAATAAACATTATCACCTGACCGGAAGGGGGGTAAATGGATTTCCCAATTTTGATAAACCACCTTTAAAGGTAGGGTCAACGCCTTGGGAGATTTAACATTAACGTCGGCCCTCGCTTGGAATTTCAAAACAAGATAATTCATTGACTTACACCTGTGTGGGTGTTAAAGGTGCGGTGATACAATTCCTCCTAGAGCATTTATATGACACAATTACTATAACATTATATCATCATTATGTGTAACCTATTTCAACTGTTATTTTGATACCGAATATAACACTATTTTAAGAAAGTGTCGTTCTTTTTTTCTAATTCTTTAGCAGAAAAATATGTGAAATTTTATTCATAATGAGACGTACTTTACATAGTTCTAAAATGAGTCTATATCTTATACTTGCTGAGAAGTTGGCTACCAATAATATCTTTCAATATCAGGAATTCCCCAAAAAATGACAACCGGTAATTTTGCCATATAATACTTTTGATTGAAAAAAAGAAAAACATAACTTTCTTTCCACTTTTCCTTTAACTTGTTTTTCTTCTTGACCGTAGGTCCCTGGGTCTTGATATTTTGCAAGAAGGTTGTTCATGTTAATTGATTTAAGTTTTGCAAAAGTTGATGAGATGACCATGACCTTCGTTTAAGGTCACAAAAATCAATAAAATAAAAAAATTGTATTGGGATTTTAGAGTTAACGATATAAAATAATATTCCTTCATATTTTGTTTAATGAATGGGCAATAGGTAAAATAAAATAATAACTAGAACTGTAAGCCAAAGGCTAACTTATACCCCCGCTCCTATATAAACCAGAACTGTAAGTCTAACTAAGGCAAAGCATTGCAAATCAATCCATAGTCTCCAACTAGTAATTATTTAAGTGTATAGGTCACTGACAGACTTCCTGTACTACCCCTCCCCCCATTTTAAAACATTGCATACCAAATCTTGTTAGCCCAGATTAACCAGTTTTGCTGAAATCGTCCTAGTAGTTAAGGAAGAGTTGTCCAGACAAAGTTTTTTAAACATAATTCCATAACTAAAAATCTAAACCTTAAGTAATTCTCCAGAGGAAAGATTACTTTGTCAGAATAAATATTCATGAGTTATTACTGCTGCACATAACTTAAAGACATGCGTAGCATAATAAAGTGTTTTGGTATGATGCACAAAAACAGAAAATGTATCGGCATTTACCATAATATACATTGATAATCAAATCTTCCTGATTATGTAAAATTGGGCATTGATCATATTTGGCATGCTAATAAAGTATTTTACCGGTTTTGATATTACATAAAAATGATTATGCAGACAGAATATATATTTGGAAAGTTTTTAAAGAAATTTTAAATATAGACTACCAGTGTAACTATATAGGCAAGTTGACAATGTTGGTTATATTTTAAATTTTGTGAAAATTTGCATGTTTTTCTAATTAAAAGTATCACTACGCTTGCTTCATGCATACCAATATGACATATTAAGTATCAAAATAACAGTAATTATATACACTATACACCATCATAGCTCATTTTCAAAATAACATTCGCCTGTGACATTTATCTGTCATTTTCAACCTGGTGTTGTGCAAGGAGGTCCACTATGGTTATTAGTAGTAATTATGAATAATCATTTATGCAGTTATTGATCATTCTATATATGGCAAAAGAATAAAAGAAATCGAAGTGGGGGCCAAATGTTGACCCCATCCTTGGGCCTTTCCATCTAAAAAAAAGAATATGATTCTAGCATATCTGGGTATGAGGAAGAAGATTATTAAGTTGTGAAATTTTAACCAATCTGAATCTCATCACTTATGGCTCCGTCACTCAGGCCCCTGGCGAGTCAGACTTCCTCATCACTGGTTGATGATTACCCACAAATTAAAGCGCGCCCAGCAGTGTGATGTAGACAAATAGAAGTCAGTATTTTGAAGGTTTTTACCCACTTATCTCCCCGTCCCTCAACCCCATCTCGATTATAGATTCTGATCCGTACCTCAGGCTAATAAGTACCACCAAGAATCATCAAAATATCACCGAGGTTGTTGCAAAGAGAAGTCGAAAATGTGATTGTTAACGCACGACGACGGGCGAAAGGCGATCGCAATGTCACCCGAGTGACCTAACAATAAAACAAAACACAAAGGAAACCATATCTGCTGAACTTTAATGAAAACAAAGTATGAAAAAAACACCACAAAAAACCAACCAATGTTTTTATAAAAAAAAACGCGGCATTAATTTGGATTCGAACAATAGACTCCTTATCACTATATAGGTCGCTTTAACTATATAGGGTACATGATCAGCGATAGTTCCATGTATGGAAAACTAATGTAAAATTATAAAGTTTTTTGCAAGCAGTAAGATAGAAATCCTTAGCTGACTGGTAAAATGTAGAAGATCACAACAGAGACTAATAGAATCTATTACCCAGTGTGATGTAGATTAATATAATCTATTACTCCAGTGTGATGTAGACTTATATGATCTATTACTCCAGTGTGATGTAGACTTATATGATCTATTACTCCAGTGTAATGTGGACCAATATAATCTATTACTCCAGTGTGACGTAAACTTATATGATCTATTACTCCAGTGTGATGTAGACTAATATAATCTATTACACAAGGGTGATGTGGACCAATATAATCTATTACTCCAGTGTGAAGTGGACCAATATAATCTATTACTCCTGTGTGATGTAGACTTATATAATCTATTACTACTGTGTGATGTAGACTAGTATAATCTATTACTCCAGTGTGATGTAGACTAGTATAATCTATTATTCCAGTGTGACATAGACTTATATGATCTATTACTCCAGTGTGACGTAGACTTATATGATCTATTACTCCTGTGTGATGTGGACTAATAGAATCTATTACTCCAGTGTGACATAGACTTATATGATCTATTACTCCAGTGTGATGTAGACTAAGAGAATCTATTACTCCAGTGTGATGTAGACTAGTATAATCTATTACTCCAGTGTGACGTAGACTTATCTGATCTATTACTCCAGTGTGATGTAGACTAATATAATCTATTACTCCAGTGTGACGTAGACTTATCTGATCTATTACTCCAGTGTGATGTAGACTAATATAATCTATTACTCCTGTGTGATGTAGATTAATAGAATCTATTACTCCTGTGTGATGTAGACTAATATAATCTTCTACTCCTGTGTGATGTAGACTAATATCATCTATTACTCATGTGTGATGTGGACTTATATAATCTATTACTCCTGTGTGATGTAGACTAATATAATCTATTACTCCTGTGTGATGTGGACTAATAGAATCTATTACTCCAGTGTGACGTAGACTTATATGATCTATTACTCCAGTGTGATGTGGACTAGTATAATCTATTACACCAGTGTGACATAGACTTATATGATCTATTACTCCAGTGTGATGTAGACTAATATAATCTTCTACTCCTGTGTGATGTAGACTAATATAATCTTTTACTCCTGTGTGATGTAGATTAATAGAATCTATTACTCCTGTGTGATGTAGACTAATATAATCTTTTACTCCTGTGTGATGTAGACTAATATCATCTATTACTCATGTGTGATGTGGACTTATATAATCTATTACTCCTGTGTGATGTAGACTAACATAATCTTTTACTCCTGTGTGATGTAGATTAATAGAATCTATTACTCCTGTGTGATGTAGACTAATATAATCTATTACTCCAGTGTGATGTAGACTATTATAATCTATAACTCCTTTGTGATGTAGACTAATATAACCTATTACTCCAGTGTGATGTAGACTAATATAATCTATTACTCTTGTGTGATGTAGACTAATATAATCTATTACTCAAGTGTGATGTAGACTAATCTTTTACTTCAGTGTGATGTAGACTTATATAATATATTACTCCTGTGTTATGTAGACTAATATAACCTTTTACTCCTGTGTGATGTAGACTAATATAATCTATTACTCCAGTGTGATGTAGATTAATAGAATCTATTACTCCTGTGTGATGTAGACTAATAGAATCTTTTACTCCAGTGTGATGTGGACTAATAAAAGCTATTACTCATGTGTGATGTAGACTTGTATAATCTATAACTCAAGTGTAAAGTAGACTTATAGAATATATTACTCCAGTGTGATGTAGACTTATATAATCTATTTCTCCAGTGTGATGTGGACTAATATAATCTTTTACTCCAGTGTGATGTAGACTAATATAATCTATTACTCCTGTGTGATGTAGATTAATAGAATGTATTACTCCTGTGTGATGTAGACTAATAGAATCTATTACTCCAGTGTGATGTAGACTATTATAATCTATAACCCCTTTGTGATGTAGACTAATATAATCTATTACTCCTGTGTGATGTGGACTTATATGATCTATTACTCAAGTGTGATGTAGACTTATATAATCTATTACTCCAGTGTGACGTAGGCTTATATGATCTATTACTCCAGTGTGACGTAGACTAATATAATCAATTTCTCCTGTGTGATGTAGACTAGTCTATTACTCCTGTGTGATGTAGACTTATATAATCAATTACTCCTGTGTGATGTGGACCAATATAATCTATTACTCCTGTGTGATGTAGACCAATATAATCTATTACTCCTGTGTGATGTAGACTTATATAATCAATTACTCTTGTGTGATGTAGACTAATCTATTACTCCTTTGTGATGTAGACTAATAAAATCTATTACTCCTGTGTGATGTAGACCAATATAATCTATTACTCCTGTGTGATGTAGACTTATATAATCAATTACTCCTGTGTGATGTGGACTAATATAACCTATTACTCCAGTGTGATGTAGACTTATATAATCTATTACTCCAGTGTGATGTAGACTATTATAATCTATATCTCATTTGTGATGTAGACTAATATAACCTATTAATCCAGTGTGATGTAGACTAATATAATCTATTACTCCAGTGTGATGCAGACTTATATAATCTATAACTCCTGTGTGCTGTAGACTAATGGAATCTACTACTCAAGGGTGATGTGGACCAATATAATCTATTACTCCAGTGTGATGTGGACCAATATAATCTATTACTCCTGTGTGATGTAGACTTATATAATCTATTACTACTGTGTGATGTAGGCTAGTATAATATATTACTCCAGTGTGATGTAGACTAGTATAATCTATTACTCCAGTGTGACGTAGACTTATATGATCTATTACTCCAGTGTGATGTGGACTAATGTAATCTATCACTCCAGTGTGATGTAGAATAATATAATCTATTACTCATGTGTGATGTTGACTAATCTATTACTCCAGTGTGATGTAGACTTATATAATCTATTACTCATGTGTGATGTAGACTAATATAATCAATTACTCCTGTGTGATGTGGACTAATTAAATCTATAACTCCAGTGTGGTGTAGATTAATCTATTACTCATGTGTGATGTGGACTTATATAATCTATTACTCATGTGTGATGTAGACTAATATAACCTTTTACTCCTGTGTGATGTGGATTAATCTATTACTAATGTGTGATGTGGACTTATATAATCTATTACTCCTGTGTGATGTGGACTAATATAATCTATTACTTTAGTGTGATGTAGATTAATCTATTACTCATATGTGATGTGGACTAATATAATCTATTACTCATGTGTGATGTAGACTAATAAAATCTATTACTCCAGTGTGATGTAGATTAATCTATTACTCATGTGTGATGTGGACCAATATAATCTATTACTCCAGTGTGATGTAGATCAATCTATTACTTATGTGTGATGTAGACTAATATAATCTATAACTCATGTGTGATGTAGACTAATAAAATCTATTACTCCAGTGTGATGTAGGTTAATCTATTACTCATGTGTGATGTAGACTAATATAATCTATTACTCATATGTGATGTGGACTAATATAATCTATAACTCATGTGTGATGTAGACTAATACAATCTATTACTCCAGTGTGATGTAGATTAATCTATTACTTATGTGTGATGTGGACCAATATAATCTATTACTCCAGTGTGATGTAGACAGACAAATTCCAAGCCAAAGGTAACATTTTTGAGTCTTTTCCCCGATTGCTGAAATTTAAAAACATACAGTGTTCGAAACGTCAATAATGATACATCACAAAATATCACGTTTCTTATAGCTCTTGTGAATAAATATTTTGTTCTTCCGAGTTCGAATGAAATAATTAAATAAAAGAAATGTAAAAGGATAAATCCTATTTAGCAATGAGTTATCCTGTTAAATGTATATCAATCATTCGAATACAAAATCGAGCCTGATATACGTTGTCAAATTTTATATTTTGGGCAACTGTCAGTGTCCTCCTCCAGTCACCAACCTTTCCTGCAACAAAACAAAATGTATGAAGGATATAAATGACACAAATTATGATAATCAGAATTGATAATTACTGCCGAACACTCAAGGATAGAAGTATGCAAAACAGTTTTAGTTTCAAGCGAGCTGGAGAATATGTTACGGAACTGTATTTCATACGATCGTAAATGTTTCGAGTAGTGAGAAGGTTCATAATACACAAACTTTATTTAACATTTAATTTGAATTTATCAGAACTCTTATTTTTGAAAATCGTAAAATCAAGGTGTTTTACGCTCCTCCGCTTCTGTCTCAACAGTAGTTAAGGTCTTTTAGGATTTTCAACTTTGTGCAAACAAGCATGACGTATAAATCATAGATGGACGACACAGTTGTATGATTTGAGTGCAATTCATTTTTGGTATACTGTTTCTATTACCAACATTTCAAACTCCTCTGTTGTATAGTGAGTATGCGCATGTCGTAATTAGCTGCCCGTTTTCTGGTGTGTAGTAAATGTATCATACACAAATCCAATGAAACCAGACTTTATAAAGTGATATGACGTAAGTCTTTCACAACTGCGTTTTAAATTCTTAGAAACAAGCTGGTTAAATATCTCCATCAGAAGTGTTAGTGATTTTCTAGATGTGTGACGAAATTCATCAATATAAAACCCAATTGGACCCTAACGTTACACGTAAGACTTATGGCACGTCACTGCATATCAATATTATTCACAGGACTATGTCTTAGCGTAAAGTGCAATTTACCTTTTCGATAAATTGGTAATATGCCGTCACTGGTCCAATCCTTCCACGTATCTTTGGCCCCTCTGCCTGTAGCATGACTCGTCTTGAGGTTATCGAACGACACAGCCTCCACCACTTGTCTCAGAAAGGCATCATCGTGTTCTACTTTTAGGAATCTAGCTAAGTCAACGACATTGGAGTATAAATTCTGAAGCATAAATAAAAATAAGATGCATCGTGCAATACTTCGTGAAGCAGGAAAAGTGTAGAGAACTGTAAAAATAAAACATGACATGTACCCTCAGTAAAATGTTTGTTATTTCCTGGTTAGTGCATATCTGTTAAGCAATAATGTCTTTCTTATCTGTAGAGTTATTTAGTCATTAAGTGGATCAAGGTCATAAATTGGAACGCCATCCGCGCAAGCTATTAGCCAGATACTGTATGATCACCCTGGATCCTTTGGGTATTGAGAAGAAGTGGTTTAATTATTTTAACATGTATGATCCATGCGACCTTGAAAGCCAAATGTCATCACCCGTGTTTTTTTTGTTATTCAAAAGTTATTTGAAAATTTGAACACATTTGACATCTTTGACATAAAGGTCGTTTACGGTCATGCATTTGGAAAAAACACACCATTGGAAGCTCTTCATCTGATCATGCTATTTGCCAAATATCTTCACACGAACCTTTTGGTTATACAGTAGAAGTTGTTTGAATATTTATTATTGCGCATCAGTGACCTGGAAAGTGAGTCAAGGTCATTTAATTGAACAGACATTTAGTCCTTCATCCAAGTATTCTACTGAATATAAATACCTTTTGATAATTGAGAAGTTCTTAAAAGATTTCAACACCTTTGAATGCTACGACCTTGAAATTGGGTCTATAAACTTGGTAACCCTTCATACCAGCATCAGACTGGCAAACTATCATAATCCTTAGTCTTTTCCTTGTTCAGAAGATGTTGTTTGAAGATTTGCTTAAACAGTTGACCCACGTGAGCTTGACAGTGTGTCAAGATCATTCATTTACGCAGACATTGTAACCCTTCATCCCAGCTTGATATTGAACAATACCATCACCCTGGGACCTTAGGGCAATATAGGCTAAATTCTAGTCTCTACAGTGTTAACAGATTTCAATGTGACAGCTGGCGGCCAGAGAGAATAACAGGATATTTGGTTTTATATGGTTTTGATGTAATTAACGTCTTTTTAACAGCTTACGTACCCCTATGTGTGTAATGTACATGTATGCGTGCATGGGTGTATGGATGGCCAGTATTCATGAAACCGTTCTCATACTCCAGCCTGGATTCTGTGCTCAAACCAACTTCCTTGTTATTCACTAAAATCCTATGACACGGTCAAAAAAAGTCAAGTATAAACATTTAAAGTGGTATTAAGCTTGTCGTATGCCTAAAATTCTTCCAAATCATTGACAAAATGTTTTTAATAGATATTTCAGAAAAAAACACATATATGAGTTTGAGCATGAACACGGTTTCATGAATACGGGCCCTGGATGCAGGGTATGTGGTATAATCGACTCTAGTGCTGCCTCACTTGAATACCAAGCCGAATTCAATCCGTTCCCATTTTATTGACAACGGAAAATTCAGTTGTTGCGATAATTTGTTTTTGTTTATGTATTGTGTTACAACCCATCGACAATGTGTGTCATTTAGGGCCAACGACAATGTAAAGATAGACATTCACACGAACTAATATTTTAAACAAAAAACAGTTAGTCTAAAATAGTTAAAAATATACTTAATAGCGAACGAATTGGTTGTAAAAAACCTGAAATCTTGTTATTAAGAACGATCGAGTGCAAAAAATCATGTATCAATTGCACAGAGACTATCAAAACATCTGTCCATAGACGGTACATTAATTGTACATCGTAGAATCTGTCGCGGATTTGTTTGACATTAGCGCACAAGTGTGCAAATAACGTTGGTCTAGGGATGTTGGTAAAACTGCTCCATTGCGATAGCATGCATGTGATGCTTCGTTTGTTGGTTTGTTTGTATTGGATAAAATGTCATCACAGCATCTAGGGCCATATGGATACATGTACCTAGAAGGGACACTGCAAAAGGAAAAGGATAGTGAAAACAGAAAAGATACATATCACCAGAATTGCAATTGGGGGCTACAGATACATTTTGGTTTCTTCTTCGCCTCCTTAGTAAAATACTATGAAGAAAACATCATATTTCTTCTTGGGGCCTAACTTTGTTCGTCTATTACTACACGATACAGCTGGTCTATTTTTATCCGAACCTGGCCCTTTCGGCTTCGACTTGCTACCTCAATGATATACAATACTGAATGCATCTTGCACAGTGTTCCATCTGGTTCCATTATAATGACAACCAGGTAGTTGTGTTTATACTAAATCCCAAACGTTTCAGCAGTGAATGGCAACTACCAGTTTTAAAGAATTTCCTATATATGCCATTATGCACCTGTCATGTGCCTAATTGGCGAAAGAGGAAAAATCCTGGTGTGAAAGGTACTGATGGATTGCTCTTCGTCTGCCCCTCCCCCTCAACTAGTCTAATATGGTTGTATATAATCAACTAATCCCCAAATTTCATGTAACCGATTTCAACGATTGAACGATGTAGATTACAGGTAACGTCGTAAGAATTGTACCTGCTGCCCCCATTGCATGATCGTAAGAGGCGACTAACTTTTGGATCTTATCTTTTCTCTTCTTTCTAAACAACGTTTTCCTTCCTAATGTCTCCCTTGACAATACCTCACTTTTGGCCTTTAGTTGAGCGTTCGCCCATGTGAGGAAGGCTTTGGGTTCTGTCCCCTGGCGGAGACATACCGCAGTCTTTAAAAATGGTAGTGTCTACTCCTGCTTAACGCTCAGCAATTAAGGAATGGGACGACTGGTTCGCCCGTTGACAGTTTAATGTGACCGGGTGGGTGTCCTGCTGGGTGTTTTCGGCAGTATGTTTCAGTGAGGTAGCACTATAAAATCGGCATCAGTTCCGCGCTATCACAGGGAGACAGACACGAACATATCGCAGCCTCCCACAACACACACGCATGCATCTTGCACACAGGGGAGGTCGTCCTTAAATGACCGTAGCTGTTGGTAGGACATTAAACAAATACTAAACCAAACTAAACCAAACGTAGATTTACCTGAACCAGGTCTTCATATTGCAGTGTAAGGATGTCCAGGTCCCGGTTCGTCCTCTTAGCATTAGCCCATTCTTTCACGTATGTGAACCAAGTACCTCCACAGTGACGAACTATTTATCAAACAGAAATATTTACAGATGGGTTCATGCTGGTAAACATCATAGTTGTCTTGCTGTGAAATGGATTAGTTTTTTTAAACGTTCTCTTAACAGATTTGGTAATGAAATGGGGGAAATAAAATTCTAAAAATAATAGATGGAGTAAAATGGTGTTTCAAACGTCTCTACGGTCGATTATTTTCAAACTTAATATGTGTTACCGAGTAATGTTGTAACGTTTTTATACGCTTGCAAATCTCATTTTGATTGACTGTAAGCTGTTACAGGGCCATGAGATTTCTTTTCGTTGATACAGCATCCTTCTTCACAATAACTAAATTAGAACTTATCTGCGCATACGCCTGCGAATCATACACATATTAATAACAATTTTAAAGTTAAACTAATTGTAATTATAATAAGGGTGGTCTGGTGGTGCACTGGTTAGCGTAGTAGGGGTCACCTGCCCGACCACGTGGGCCTTTCCCGGGTGCTTCGGTTCTCTACCGCGTGCTAACATCCGGGCCAATAAGAGTGAATAATACAAGTTGAAATATTTAATTTTATTGATCGCATATGACAGATGAATGTTATTGACCAAATCTGTAAAACTATTTGTTCAAGCTAGCTGAAATTCTGCATTTTATAATTTAGGCATGTATCTTTGGAGATAGATATCTCAAGTGCTACTGATTTCAAAGTCAAAGTGTCCGTGCTATTATTTTTATAAAATTGCTTTCTTTCACTCTTAAATGAAAATAGTCCCGAAGACAACCGGGAACTTGCTTATTTTCGGAAAGTTGGCATAAAAACATCACTAAAAAGCTGTAATTATAACGGGGTCGTCAAAGTCTTAAATTAACCCCGCAGTCGTTAATAACTTTTTTTGAAGTAACTTTACTTTTCGTAATACCTACGCCATGCACGCATACACTACACACATAGAGGCACGTCCTTAAATGATCTTAGCTGTTGATAGAAAATGAAACAAAATAGAACCAAGCCATTCCAAATTGAAGGGACTAGAGCACTATGAACGTTTTGGCAAGAAGTAAACTTTATATCAAACACTTTTAATATATTTGTTATTAGATCACCTAATCAACAGTGAATGTGTTGATGTAGGAGACATTCTATAAACCTCAGCGAAGTGAGTTGGAAAATGACTATAAACATGTTACAATATACAAGCTATGCTTTTCACAGATGGAAGTGCTCAAATGTCTTCACGTGGGAGGTAACATAATGCTTTTTTTGTTAAATGTGGATATCAAATTCCGACTGTCTTTATGAAAGACGATATTCATCTATCGATCACAATCCACGTTTTAATACAAATCCGTATAGTTATTAATACCCGTTTTCTTTTTTATTTACGGAAACAAAAACACAACGTTACTATCACAGGGAGCAATTTCATAACCAGGTAAAACTTACAGTCATCCGATAGGAAGAAATTAACAAATCCATCAAATGTTCCTTTATACAGCTTGTTGTTGAGCCGCCTCAGGGATTAAAGGATAAGTCATGTGGCTGTGGTATGTTCTGGGAGAGTCCTTCAGATCCATATCGGCCAAATCTTCATATTCAAGCGTGTCTGGTGATCCGCGGTATTCAATGCTGTTAGACCGTAGCATCTTGATGATATTAAACACCCAATGAGTACCTATATTAGGGTCAAAGAGAAAAACCCAAATAAAATTCAACGTTTCATAAAGATTAAGGATAATCAATTGTGTATGAATAGCATATACTTGCATAAACATATTATGTACCGCAAGATGCAGTCTTTTTTCTGCTTACTTGGCATATGTTTTTATTTAATATTATTATTTTATGTTTAACATGCACACCTTTAAACATAAGTATTCACTGGTTCATTTTTTTGTTGAAATATCTGGTATAATAGCAATTTCGATTGATGATTGTCTCAATCCGAATTTCCAGTAGTATTTGAAATGGTATGCCAAAAAATGGTATTGATTGCTTATTTTGTTCGAAAAGGTGTGTATAAGTTGGATAAATACTGACTTTAAAGATATTTACTATTTGATTGTAACTGGTTAACGAACGGGAGAAATACTTTTGTTATTCTTTCGTTTGATGATGCATGGTTTATTTGCTTCAAAACATTCACAAAATGTAGCACCGGTCATATATTATATTATGAAAATATGATTTCTTGAGTACATACCTGATTTTGGATACGTACAAAGGAGCACATCATCCGGACGACTTTTAAAGGAAATTATATTTTCCACTCGTTGTGAGGGCTTTCCGACCATACCCGGGTGAAATTTTCTCCCCTGGTACAGTTTAAACTGTATTACATTTCCTTTGTCGTCTGATAGACTTGATTCATCCATTGTGTATGTCCAGTAGCTGTCTCCGAATAATAACAAAAAATAGCAGATACAATTTTAGGATAACATTATATAATGAATACTGGAACAGTTTCGTCTAATCAAATATTTCCTTTCACCGGTAAAACCCATATTCACCCAGTGCAATTTCGCTGCCCTGCAGGTAGGGCGTAAGAATTGTACCTGCTGCCCCCAATTGCATGATCGTAAGAGGCTACTAAATTTGGGACCTTATCTCTTCTCTCCTTTCTAAATAACTTTCTTCTTCCTAATGTCTCCCTTGACAATGCCTCACTTTTGGCCATTTGTTGAGCGTTCGCCCATGTGAGGAAGGCTTTGGGTTCTGTCCCCTGGCCGAGGCATACCAAAGTCTTTAAAAATGGTAGTTTCTACTCCTGCTTAACGTTCAGCAAATTAGGAGGGGGACGACTGGTTCACCCGTTGTCAGTATAATGTGACCGGGTGGGGCGTCCTGCTGTGTGTCTTCGGCAGTATGTTTCAGTGAGGTAGCACTATAAAGTCGGCATCAGTTCCGCGCTATCACAAGGAGACAAACACGAACATATCGCAGCCTCCCAAAATACACACACATACACTACACGCATGCATCTTGCACACAGGGGAGGCCGTCCTTAAATGACCTTAGCTGTTAATAGGACGTTAAACAAAATCAAACAAACAAACAAACAGTGCAATTTCGCCTTTCCCATGTACATGCTTGGTAAATTCACCTCACTGCGTATGGCGAAAAAGGCGCAAGGTAAATTGCGATTTCCCTTAGTATGTATATACACAATATATAAAAGTATTAAGACAAAGTATAATACCGACACTTCTTCAAATTAGAAGAACGTAAAAATTCACCTATGTTGAGAACTAGATTAGATTTGTACTCTATAGTGGAAGAATCTCAAAAAAGGCATTTCTCGCCATTTGTTCTTTTTTCGAATTTTTCATTTTCTTATATCTATAACCTCGTAAGCTGCACAAGGTGTATATAATATTGTTTCATATAGAATGTACTAAATGTGCGCTCACCCGAAAACAATGTACATTACCGTCCAGTCGTCGATACTCGTATAAGTTTACATTTCTGGTATGACTCCTACTCTTTACAACACGATCCACTTGTTGAGACACGTATAAGTTACCTTACTTGTTAGATTAAAAGAACCGTACAACACAAGATTGCTTGAGCTGTCAGATTTAAAGAACTATACAACGCCACTGGTCGTTTGTACGCGTATAACTTACATAGCTGTCATACGCAACTCCACAACACCACCCAATAGTTGATACGTCAGTTGACTCTTTATTGATATTTGAAGAGTGATTCATTCTGCATTTACAACGGCGTCTAACAATTGACAGTTGAGCAAGTGATATATCATATATATTGAAATAATGTTTTAAAATAACGGATACCCTTTTTTTACACTTCATATTTCCATCACTTTCAAACGCACATTAAAAAAGTATTCCAAAGTTCCAGATTGAGTAAATTGAGTTCAATGTTAAATTCTTGGTTGATTAACGGCGGCCCATCAACGGTAAAATCAACAACAAAGTACAGTTAACAAAAGGAGTTAAAAAGTTAAGAACAACATACACATATATTTTATACAGTGATATTCTTTTATTGAGTTACAATATTCACAGTATTTCAACAAATTAGTTGTATGGAATATTTTATGAAGTTAAATAAAAGCTAGAAATACGAAGTTGATTCATAAAGCCAAAATAGCTTAAATTGATTGCACCGTATGGCCACTTGCTTTTTAACCACTTTTCAGTGTTGTACCTCAGGTAAATTTGTGTCCGATACTGCGATTTTGGTTTTCATCTTATTGAACGTCCTATAAACAGTTAACGTCATTTGTCCTGCATTTCGGGGATCGAGAAAAGTATGAAAAGGTGAAATAGTATAGTAGATATGCACTGGACAAACTTTTTGGACAGAAGGACAGACGGAGTGCAAACCTATAGTCCCTCTCGGGAACTGGTTGGAGACTTAATAGCTCGAATCGAATGCCGACGTTTTAGTGTTACCTCGCTGAATTACACTGTCGGTGGCACCAAGGAAAGTGTTCCACCAGACAGTGAAAGGTTACAATTTTGTTCCTAACCATTTTTCTCAGGTTGGTAATTAGGAATAGTAGAAAGAAAAGTAGAAATGTTATTTATAAATCAGCAGGTGTTAATGTGTGCTATTTCGACGACTGGTACAACACGTTGCAACAGTGTGGTTGTAACAAACAATATCTACCCAATTCAGTTGTTGCTTATTATGTGATTCAACAAATATATGTTCGTTTGCCAGAAAAAATCGATCTTGGATTTCGAGTAAAAGTTTCGAGCATGATATTGCAGTGAAGTCGCGCTCATTTAGGTCGGCATTAGATTCGCGCTACCACAAGGGGCCAACTCACCAACAATCACACTCAAACACACAATCATACATGGTGGCCGAGCTGAGTGGTTTGGATGTCTGACCGCCTATGATTACTGACCCTCCACCACCGGGTTGTTGGTTTGAAGCCTACATAGGGCAGTTGCCAGTTTCTGGCTGCAGGTCGGTGGCTTTTTCCGGCCTGCACTCCTCGTCCACCAAAACCTGGTAACGTCCTTAAATTACTAGCTTTTAATAGGACGATAAACCAAATATTTTTGAAGTATTGATAGTTTTTGTATAGCTATTCGAAGTAATGAATTCAGATATATACATGTACACAAAGCTATTTTTTGTGCTTTTTTCAAACAGGTTTCAGTTTTATCTGTAACTTTATAATACTTAGTATTTCCCACTGCAACCCGTTTGAAAATATACATTTTTAGTGATACTAGGATGCTATAATCTGTCAATACAAATCATTTTAATGGTTGTTGTATAGAGAATCCTATATAACTATGGGTTAACAGCTTGAGTGTTATTACTTTGTTGTGACATCCAGATGTTACCAACTGTCAAATTACGGTTGTCTCAGTATTTTTGTATCATAAAAAAGCAAGGTTTTATCTGTGGTCGTTAGAGTTTGTTTTGCATACCAATTTATCAGAAAGTCCTTTTTCTGCATAGGTGAAAGTGTACGTCTGCGAAAAAAGAAATCCGATGAAGACACGTAATATTGTTTTCAATAATACACGTACCTGCAATTGCTTAAAAATGTACATTTACAGTCGAACCCACTTAATTTTAACTCGGATATACTGAAATACCGGTTAATTTGAAATAAAAAAGAATCCCCGTCCACATGCCTTCTTTGTCAAATCGGTTGATTTGAAATACAGCTTTAATTGAAAGGTAAATTCTGGCTCTCGGCAATGCTAAGTTATTGTTTTCACATCGCATATATTAAAAGCCGCCAAAGCCAGCCGTCACGCTATAGTGCGTCCGATGTTTCACCAGGTAAAAATGGATTTCTAATACAATACCAATAAATTGTGAGTTTTAATCAGTCAGCGGTGTTTGTTATTGAACATGTATCTTTTGGTTGTGTACAAGTGTGTTTAGAAAACGACAGTTGTATGAAATGGCTTCCACCAACAAAAAGCGGAAACAACTCACAATAGACGAAAAATATAACTTTGACAGACGATGACATTATCAGCAATATTAGAGCCGATAATAACGCCTCGACATTGACGATGATTCACAACAGTTGTTTGTAAAACCATCAATAAACGATGCACGGGAGGGCGTACAAACTACTCTCACCTACCTCCAGAGTACCTCGGATGTTCCAGATTTAATATTTGAGTAGCTATTAACATTGTAATGCAAAAACTGGAATCATCCCATGTTGTCGGAAAGTCTAATTTGATTTAGGACGGAAGAAGTCAATAACACGCGTTTGTTTTCGTTGCTTCATTTGAAATTGCGACATAAGCGTGTCGAGCTCGCGCACGCATGTGCATAATGAGTCTCCATGTACACACGACAAAAGAATTAGGTGTTTTCTCTGTGTGTTACTCATAAGATAGAGTCAGCAGACGACAGACGTGCAATCCAATTAAGTTGCGTTAAAATTCGGGCCAATCAGTTTGCAAGAAAGACTTAGATAGGTTCAGAGTACACATTTTTCTTCATGCGACCGATTTTTTTTCGTATTTCTTGCGAATTGTTGTATTTGATGGTCACCAGTGTAAACAACATGGCGATGAGCACGTTTGACATAAACGTTGAGGCTGCATTAGATGATGAAGGAGGGGCTAAAACCCCAAATGACGGCAATGATTTTGGCAGATCCGACCTTGATTTGGTTTAGTTTGGTTTAGTTTAACGTCCTACATTTAAAGTTCGGTTTTATTTTGTTTAACGTCCTATTAACATCTAAGGTCATTTTAGAACCCTAATTTCCGTCTATTTCTACCCCACATAACCATTCACACTTTCCCCCCTATACTACTTCATACCATTCTTCCATTTATCTTGATACCTTATTTCCAATCTTTTCTCTAGGCCCCAAACCCAAATTGAATTCCCGCCATCTCTCACACCCAATCTAATGAACTTCCAGGTTTTATATCAACAAACCCGAAGCTTCCGCTCCATCTCCTCCTGCCTATAAGATTTCTAGTAAAGGTAAGACACATACACTGTGATACACAACACACAATGAAGTTCACATCATTTATTTTGGCCATAGCCCTGCTAGCCTTCTGGACAACAAACAAAATAGACATCGACCATTCATTAGGCCTATCTACACTCGCCGTCACACCGACACACACACAACCACATTACCTGGCACTATACCCATCTCTCTGACAAGACTAAAACATAAGACAACCAAACCCAGCTGCACATACCTTTTCATCCTCCTACTTTCCATATCATCAGATACAGAATTAAACCCCGATGAAAGAGCCCCTAGATACCCCTGCGGTACCTGTGGCAAAGCAATTACATGGAAATCCATTGCCATATGCTGCGATACGTGTGACACCTGGTTACATGTCGACTGTCAGGGAATGAATCAATCATCCCTCAAATACTACGACCATAGCGGGGTATCTTGGACTGTCTAAACTGCGAGCTTCCAAACGTTTCCACAACCCTATTTGACAACACAAGCATTGACACATCAAACATATTTTCACGACTTTACAACTCTAGCATACACTCAAGCTTATATGAGGACCGAACCAGCCCATGCCCACCCACAGCATCCTCCTCGCCTATAAAACAAAACAACAAGACTGCCACTAGCTACAACAAATTTACAAAACCAATACACATAGCCACCATTAACTTCAAATCCATTTCCAACAAAAAACCTGACCTCGACCAAATAATACACTCGCTCAAACCAGACATCATAATAGGAACAGAAACATGGCTCAACAACACAATCTCCTCGTATGAATACTTCCCAGTCACCAAATACACTGTCTACCGAAAAGACCGCAACCCAAATAAACATGGCCAAAGCCACGGACGTGTCCTCCTTGCAATTACAAACAGATACCACACAGAACAGATTAAAGAATAAGAAACAGACAAAGAATCAATTTGGGTAAACATCTCCATGACAAATTCACACAACCTCAGCATAGGAGCATATTAAAGACCGCCATCAGACAAAGGACACAACTAGAAACCTCTATGAACAGACTAGGTCAAAACTACAACACAATAACATACGTAAGTGCAGATTTCAACTTACCACACATAGCTTTGCAAAACAACACAACCATACCAGGCAAACACGAACAAAAACTTCACCAGCACCTTCTGGACATTATAGACAACAACTCCCTCACAAAAATAACGACAAAGCCCACCAGAGGAAACCATATACTCGACCCGATACTTCCAAACAGACCATCAATCATTAACCACACCACATATAGGTAAATCTGACCATGACATAGCCTACACTGAAATTGACGTTCGACTGAAAAGAATAAGAAGAGAACCTAGAAACATATACCTCTACAACAAAGCTGGCTGGAACAACATAAGAAATTACTTCTAAACACAAAACTTAACGAACAACCTAACCAAACCGCAGACAATCTTTGGAACATGTTCTAAACAACACTTGCTAATTCAGTCACAAAAAATATCCCTCAAAAATGCATCACATACAAATCCAAACTCCCTTGGATAACACATTCTCTCCTTCGACTCGTGAGAAAATGTAAACAGTTACACACGAAAAGCAAAACAAAACATGAACATATATAGAAATACAAATCAGCAAAATCAGAACTACAAAAACAAACACGCAACGCATATCTTAACTACATGGAAAAAGTGATAGAAAACCTACCAATAGACGAACCCAGCACACCCTCGCCTAGTAAAATAATGCAATTGCAAAAAACTATTATCCTGCATAAAAACCACAAGAAAAGAAAACACTGACATAACCGCATTACGTAAAGATGGACAACTAAAAACTGACACTACATGCAAGGCAAACATCCTAAACGAACAATTTGAACCTGCCTTCACCACAGAACAGGACTGCCCCATACCAGACAAAAGACCTTCTACACACTCTCTCATGCCAGAAATACACATCACAGAACAAGACATCTATAAACTACTCAACAACATCAACCCACATAAAGCAACAGGACCTGACAATATAAACGGCAGAATACTTAAAGAATTAAGTGACATCCATCCCAGGCCCCATTCTCACAAAAATCTTCACCCGCTCACTCACTACAGGAACACTACCATCAGATTGGAAACACGCAAACGTACACCCAATATAGTAAAAAGGAGACAAGTACAAACCAGCAATTAAGGACCAATTTCGCTAACCTGCATCACAATTAAACTTATGGAACACATCATAACAAGCGCCACAAAGACACATCTGGAGAACAACAACATATTATGACCTTCAGCATGGCTTTAGATCCTCCAGATCCTGTGAAACACAGCTCACCTCATTCATACATGATCTACACTAGCTAGATATAAACAACAACATCAACAAACAGACAGACATCATCATTATGGACTTTGCCAAAGCTTTCGACAAAGTCCCACACAAACGACTAAAATACAAACTCAAATATTACGGGGTAACAGGGAACACACACGCATGGATTACAGACTTTCTCTCATTCCGTACCCAAACAGAAGTACTCGAGGGCAAACAATCAGACAAAATACAAGTAACCTCTGGGTCCCTCAAGGAACCTGTTTGGGCCCCATCCTCTTCCTCATCTACATCAATGACTTCCACGAATACATGAAATACAGTACACATAGACTGTTTGCAGACGACAGCATCATATACAAGACGATAAATCTAAGAAAGTGGTCTTTTGGTATGACTTTATCAAGATCAACAATGAACACAGTCTGAAAATACTTAAATGACAAATACTCAGATATTTACCAAATGACGTGTTATTCCGATGATAAACATAATTAACATTGGAAACGAGACAAAAGAATAATTGACACAGTACATTATTGAACAATAAGTAAATGTAGTCACTTTAGTAACATAATAACTTAGTATCAATGATCACTTACATATAATATGCTTTAAATAGGCTAGTGTTAGTGTTTCCTCAAACGTCGACTTTGCATCAAAGGGGAGTAACTCTTAAATGCCTCGACTATAAAGGGAAGTAACTATGTAATTACCATTGTCAATAAACAATAATCATGTATCCCCCTTCGAGTCTTTTGTGATATAGAGAAATGATAAGATCCCTAATGTAGTCGCCTCTTACGATCATGCAATGGGGGCAGCAGGTACACCTCTTACGCCCTACATGCAGGGACAGCTTGCGGGGGCGTTGGTGAGAAAGATAATGGGCAGGGGGCTAAAACATAGAAGGGCCAACAGGTTCAGGGGCTATTGCGGAGCTGTAAGAACAGGAATGTGGTTATTAGGCAAGGGGGCTAATAGTTACAGGGGTCAACAAGTACAGGGGATTTCAGGTAGGGGCTACAACTAAAAGGGGGCATTAAGTAGGGGATTATTAGGTAGGGGGCTAATGGATGGGGGCAACAATGGCTTATAGCTAAGAGGAAAAACAACTAGGGAGTTAGGGGGCTCATTGGTATGAGTCAGTGTTAACATGTAGGGGGTAATTATTAAAAGGCCTATGGTAAGGGGGCTAGAAGTAGAAGGACCAATATTAAAGGGGTTTCAGTTAGGGGTTAAAAGTAGGAGTAAGCATATAGAGGCTAACAAGTACATTTGTAGGAAGCCCATCGTTAAAATCAAATGTTTAGGTGTAGGGGATGAAAGGTTGAAAGGCCTATGGGTAGGTAGATAAGGAGTATTTGTTTGTTTATGGTTTAATGACCTTGCAACAGGGAGACACAGCCACAACGAGATAGTATAGGGTGCAGGGTGCCCTATATAAGTCACCGTTTACGATACATATGAAGTGGGATACTGCAGGTACACCTGTATAATTTAAAATATTCTTGTTTTCGTTAACTTACCCTTAACATGTACAGAGGGTGGGGGACATGCAGGGGGTATATTGGTATAGATTGTTAATGCTGGGGGGCGGAGGGGTTAAAATTTTAACAGTAAGAACAATACTGAGTAATTAAAGGGACTAAAAGGAGGAAGGATAATGGGTACAAGGGTTCATATATAAGGTGGCGGCTATTGGGAATGTTGCTTTTAGGTAGAGGAATTCATGTTTAGGAGGCAATTTGATACAAATAAACAGATAAGGCCTACATGTAAAGAGCTAATAGGCTAGCTGATGGGAATGGGGCTGACTGGTAGGAGGAAAACTAAAGTGAATTGCTTAATGTGTAGAAGCGAGGAGGGTGAATGGGTCGTATTGTCCGTTTACTTTCTGATGAACCTAAAACCCTTGCGCTTGCCATGAAGAAAGTTTCAATCTTGTCAGATGATTGAGTGCACTCTCTTCTTTAGGAGAAATTGTAATTAATTTTATCATACATAAGATATTTAACGGACTTGACTGGGTAGATCAACAGCAACCAGGGCACAACAATAGTCACGTGGCATCAAAATCTAAATATAGCATGGTAATCATTTCAAAGTAATATGCATACAAGACAAAATGTTCGAAGGTTAATTATACCTATCCACTGTATTTGCCAATTTGACATACCTGTAACAACATGTGAGAGTATGTCATTCCTGTAAAATGACTTGTTTGTTAAAAGAACATCCTGCATATACCATCCACGAGGTCGAGCAGACATTTTGAAGTGCCCCTTATGGCCATGCAAATCATACTCTCAACAATGAAAACAGTTTATTATATTCATACGTAACGTCTGCTGGCTTTGTCCTGTTACACAGGCATACATAAATTGAAAAGATGTGTTTAAGTTGATGTATGATCAGGTAAGATTATCATATGAGTAATAAATATAATGTTTTTTTGTAGGGACTAGAGCTATAGTCTGTTTCCTATTTACACTCCCTTGTACATTTTGTAAGAGTTATCTTTCTTTGTGCCTGAACAGTTCATAACAGCAGTGCAACCAGAATAGAGAGGTCCTGGGATGAAGCCATCAGGAGGATTACAGAACATCCTCCTGGTCAGTTGTTTGCTGATGATGCATAGGACGTTGCAGCAACAACAGAGGCAGCAGCATCCTCTGCATCATCACAAGGACAAAAAAGGTAAATAAATCTAGCTGCTAGAATATAATGCATCTGTTGTACATTTATACACATACATGATTGTATATATTGTATATAACTCGTAAGTGCAATCTTTTGTGTACAAACTTTGATTAGTATATTACATGGATCATTTTTCTTAAGCATTGTCTTGACTGACTTGTTCCTTATTTGCAATTTTACTTATTGTATATAACTTTGATGCGAAATTGGGCATGCAGTATATATATTTGTCAATCAGTATTCTGACCTTATATATGAAATTTGGCCAATATAACGATACATATGAAATAAAATATTTCTCCTGAAATTCTACCTTGATTGGTTAAGTGATATGTGAAATGTTAGAATGCCACGGACAAAAACATTAAATCATTATCATGCATTTGCATATATTTACATGTAGGTATTTACCTTTATATTCTATAGGTTACCTGTACATTTAAAGATTATTATTAAAATGTAACTGCATCTTTTTGATCACTTTCAACATTTGAGGATTAAACTTTAAATGGTGTGTATCTTAAATTGTGTTATTCTATTTTATGTAAGTAATTTTACCTAAGAATTTGGCATTAGCATAAGTGTGTGTTAAATTCAGTTTTACATTCCATTCATCGCAGATGCCGAACAAAAGAGGTGCAGGCCACAGACAGGCAGAAGAGGAAGAAAACTGCTGAAGATGTATATACAATTCAGCATGCCTACTTTGAGAGGGAGATGGTTAAGACCGATCTACAGATCATCCTTTTAAAGAAAATTCTTCAAAATTTTGAAGGTCAGCAAGACACTGTCAGCCTTCTAGCTGCTTCGTCTCATTAGCTGAATATTGCTTACATGCTAATGATACAAAACAGACAGAATGCTGTCAATCTTGTCTGATCATTGTAGTTATCCCTTGCTCAGCATTAGTTAAAATTATCAACATTAATAGTTCTATATGTAAATAATTGATGTACGTCTTATAGTGAAATATTGCAAAAGGTCAATGTAGACTTACTGATATTTTTCAATGTAATATTGATGTCTTGTAGATCTGATATTTGGCTGATAGGTTCCTAGGATGAAGACTGACAAAGTATGTGAAAAGAAATGACCTTGACCCATATTCTAGGTCATAGGGTTAAATTTGTAAAAACCTTTAAACAACTTCTTCTGCATGCCCAAGAGGCCTAGGATAATGATATTTGGCCAATAGCATGCTAAGATAAAGGGCTACCAAGTTTATTCAAACAAATGACCTTCGCCCATGTTCAAGGTCACAAGGGACAAATATGTTTAAATCTTTAAATTACTTGTTCTGAATATTCAAAAGGTCCAGGGTAATGATATTTGGCCAGAAGCATGCTGGGTCGGAAGGCTATAAACTCTGTTCAACTTAATGTCAAGGTCACATGCGTCATATGTTTAAATAATTAAACAAGTTCTAATGTATCGAACACAGATATTTTGTAACTGTAGCTGTATATTAGTCCACTTTTAAGATTACAAGTGTGAGAATAATACCAGGTGAGCGATTCAGGCCCATTGGACCTCTTGTAATATTAAAAGTATGTATAATATCATGATTTATCTGATGAGCGAGGGGTATCTATGACAAAATTTTCTTTTAGCCATTTCCCTTTCAAAGTAGGTAGAAATATGCCTCAATTTTGTCTCCTATCATTAGTTTTCAAATAAAATTTCAAATAATTCAAAATTTTACATATCTTTATGGTATATCTATTTACTACATATCCGTATCTGACATTATACAAATTTTAACCATATGACCATTTTCATATCCTACTCGACCCATATCAGCCCACGAACTACTTGCCCATTGGGCTGATATTGGAGTCTCTGGCTGGTACACAGTAGGATATGAAAATGATCATATGATAACCTCTAAATAATCTTCTATACCTTTCCACCTGTAGTTTGTCAGGGGCATATCTTCTATACTATTTCATCTTCTAATAACTAGATTTCAGAAAATTCAGAAAACTAAGAGATCAGCAAAGGTTTGTTGTACTACCAATGGATACCTTATTGAGGCTAATATTTATAACTATTTAATTGACTTAATTCATGTATATAAATTTGTTGAAAATTGTATTGTAAAAGATTATTTGAATGTAAATTATGTTTTTACTTATTAGCCCACCATCATTAAAGTATGGGCAGTTCAAATCTCATTTTGTTTATGGTATGGCTGTACATCCTGAAATTTTTTCAATCAGTTTAAAGTTTTTGGCCAAGTTTTCTCCAGACAGTAAAAAAATGTTTATTATAAGGTTGAAGTATTCTTATGGAGTGAACGCAAACCATGTTTTTATATTTAAGGGGCAATTTTTTCACAATTTAGGGGCCAAAACTGGTTAATTGGACTTGGTTAAAGTTTTTGGGCAAGTTTTAGGTTAAAGTTGGATCACCACCATCAATAGGCTGTTGACTATTTTACAATGTCTGATCATATCTTTTCTTTAGAAATGTACAACATGATGAGGTACAGCAAAACCTCCTTATATTGCCCCATTTTGATCAAAGAAATGTTGGCATTATAAAGGGATATGGCAATAAATTGAGGGACACATTAAGGAATTCTTTGGAAATACAGAGTACCTTGAAACATGTTTTGGGTGAGCAAGGTTGCAAATGAATTAATTGATACTTGGCTGCTATCTTATAACACTATCTAATACATATAGGCAAGTTATGCTGTTCTCCAACAGTTTTGTTTGAAAAGTGATCTGCTTTCACAAACTAAAATGTAATACTGTGAATATAAAACAAAAACAACATAACATCTGATACAAGTGCATTTATTAATGAAATTTTAATTCAAATTTGCGGGCAACTTTTATATTTCATCTTCATGGAGCAGGGGCACTCCACGCGCTCCCCAACTAAATTTCAACTACGAGGAGTAGGGGCACTCCAAACTCCTAGCGCCCCTTAACTAAATTTCAACTACATAGAGCAGGGGCACTCCACGCGCCCCTCAACTAAATTTCAACTTCATGGAGTAGGGGCACTCAACGCGCCCCCAAACTAAATTTCAACTAGATGGAGTAGGGGCACTCCTAGCGCTACCCCCCCCCCCCCCCCCAACGAAATTTCAACTACATGGAGTAGGGATACTCCACATGCATAACAAGAATTTTAAAAAAAGTCCTAAATATGTGGTCCCTAACAGTACGGCCATCCTGGGGTCCTTCATAAACATCGTCAGCAGCTTGTATAGGGTTGTTATCCTCTTCAATTACAGGCTCCTGTAATGTGATTGCAATGTTGTGGAGGACCGCACAGGCAACGATTACTTTTGCAACCCTCTCATGTTTTATGCGATTCTGTATCAAAAGGAAATCATTCTTATGGTAATTCTGAATAAGCAGTGATGATATCGAGCAAACATGTACTGAGGTGAAAGGCTACCAAGTTTGTTATACTGTATATGATCTTCACCAATTTTCAAGGTCACAGGGATCAAATGTATAAAAAATCTTTTTAATATTACATCACAATGCAAAGATGGTGATTCCTTAATTAATGTCGCCCATTTTAATATATTTGCCCTTGGTCCACTTTGATGGATACTGGTGTGAAATTGAGCAATTCATGCCCATTGAGACAATACCCAACACTACTGCACATCATGTGGACATTTCTCAAGTTTATGGTATTCATTTTCATTTAATCAAGATAATGTCCTTATTAGTAGTGTCATAGGTTTATCAATATAAAACTGCTCATAACAAGAAAAAAAAGTAATCATAGAAGATTAGCTCACCTCTAAGTGAAGGACATGGAGGCGTCTTTTCCATCTCCCAAACGTCCTCTCAATGGTGCTCCTTGTTCTTGCGTGAGCCACGTTGTAACGCTGTTGTTGAGCATTCTGAGTTAAGGTACGGGGTTAGGAGGAAAGGTCGGCAGGGATAGCCTGAATCTCCTAAAAGGACCCAATTCTCCCAATTTTGGTGCTGCTCAAGTTGCAGGCAAACCTGAAGAAATAAAATATAAATTCAGAATCTTTATTTAAAATAAAATTGCAAACTTTATCGGTCGAATAAATACTTTGGTATACCACTAGTGGTATATGACTTTGTGGAGTTTTGATTGGCTGAACTTTGACCAGAATTATGTCACTTCTACATGTTTATTTACGAAAAACTGGATGTCAAATTTAAAACATGTTCAACTAGGGTACTTCACATTTGTTATGTGACTGTTCATAAATGAATTATTTAAATCTGCTGAGATTCTCTGGTGTTATTCATAATCTAATTTCTATCAGTATTCCTCTTCCCTGATGTCACTCAGTGTCTAGCTTAAAGTAACCATTAAAGTCATCATTTTCTTGATATTTTCTTTCCGATTTGAGTAAAATAAGTGAACATTATTAATTTTCAAGGTCACAATGGTAAAACATGTGCAAATACTTAAACAACCTCTCCTAAATAAGGAAGAGGTCTAGGTCCAAGATGTTTGACAATAAGCATGGCTGAAATGAAGGGTTTAAATATAATTTAAATGAATGACCTTGACATAGATCGAATGTGATTTGAACTGTAACTTCCAAAATCCATCTTCAT